TACTGAGGAAGACCTGCCTCATAATGATGGGAGGTTAATTAGTGATGGGGTTCCTTTATGTGGGATTAGGGTCCTGCCCTGCACTGGCCATGGCCATAATGTACAGGACCAGGAGGTGCTCTCCCCACCGGGGATGCCTGGGCCACCGGGATGCGGGATGCTGAGGCGGGGATGCGCCATGGGTCCAGTCCCCAGCTCTACACAAAGAGCATCAGCTCCTGGCAGCTGGCGAGGAGGGACATAATCCCACAAAAGTCCTGCTCCAGGAGGATCAGCAGGAGAGGTGAGGGGCACAACAGCGAGCCCCCACCATGCCTGCCCCACTATTGACTGCCTAAACAGTTCTTTGGTGATTACAATGTAAATATAGCTTTTCATGGAGTAAAGGCCTTTTATGGGATCCACACACACTTAACCACTTAACCCCGGCGACAAAAAGAGCAGTGAATTAGCTGTTTAGAGGCTGCTCGTGCAGAAAAGCTGGCTCCTGAATAGGATTTGGGGATCTCTGTGTATCAATTGCTATGCTTCAGGGGTCCTCAATGGGGCTTTTGGCGTTCGAGCATGTGCCAAAGGGCTCGCGTGGGTATGGATGGAGTGGCAGGGAAAAAAGGCAAGGAAAAAAGCAGCTGCTTCTCCTTAATAAAACAATGATTTATTCATTGCGACTTGGGGAAGGGGCGGGGGGGACACGGGCAAGTGCCAAAGCGATGCTTCCCCTGCTCCGTGCCTGGAGAGGCTCAGGGGCTGAGCCTGCCTGGGGAGCAGGGGGCAAGGGGAGAGCAGCCCAGGTGGCAAAACCAGACCCCAGTGCAGCCCCAGCTGGGCTCTGCCACAGGAAAGTGATGCTGGAGGGACACCTCCTCACCGGGGCACAGCCAGGACCTCACTGAAGCCAAAGGGCTGACAGTCAGGCTACAGCCCTGCTTTTAGGCCTGCTGCAGATGGAGAGATGGCAGAGGAAGAGGGAGGCAAGGTAGGAATAGGAATGGGGTTTGACATCACCAGTTCCCATTGAAACTGGGGACACCAGCAGCATCACTCACACCCCTTTAACAAGAGCCATGGACAAATCCCAACCACTCCAGAATCCTATAGGGTTTGGGCTTTTGGTGCTGGCTGATGAGTATTAAATCCAGCTCCCCCACCCCTGCTTTTGCTCCCTGCAGATGTTTGGGGGTCTTTGGCACCTGCCTTGACCCCATCTGATCTTTTCCTTGCTCTTCTTCTCCCTTTCCAGCAAAAGGGGACGCAGTCCCTCAGTGGCAGTAACACCGCAGGAGCTGTTATAACTTAGATGCTCCAAGTGGCTTTTGGGGTGCTGGGTGAGCATGAGGACACGTGTGAAGGGTGCACATCTTACCATGCAAAAGGAACACACCTCTCAGGTACTGATCCCTCATCATCACATGCACGAGCATCATCAACTACTGAAAATCAATAAGCTAGTGGAAGGGAAGCAGCACAGAGCGTGTTGCATGAAAACAGCCTTGAGGAGCACAAGGAAAAATACTAGCTAAAAATGAAATTAATCTCTTGCAAAGCTGCAAGATTTCCTTCTCGCCCTCCCCCTCGCTGCAATCTTTTATGTCATTTTCTTTAATTACAGCTGGTTTAGATCTCTGCTGCCTGGAGAAGCATAGCTGGAGTTAGCCATAAATTGGGCTTCTGGGTGCTACAAGAGAAAATACTAATCCCCAAGGACTGAACATCTGTCCACATGGAGCGTATGCAATGTTATAATTAATATTAATGACTAATAGTTAATAGAGAATGGAACTTTTGCTTTACAGGTCACCTAATAAACCCCATCCTGCTGCAAGCCTCAGACAGAGCTAGTTTCCATGGCAGGAGCTGCTGGGCAATCAGGTGAGGGGAGCCCGCTCCAGGCTCAGCTCCCAGTGATGAAACAGGAGGTGGGGTGTCCTGCTCATGCAGGACCACTCAGTGCTGTCCAGCAGGTCCCCAGCTCCATGGCAGGGGTTGGAACTGGATGATCTCAAGGTCTTTTCCAATCCAAACCATTCTACACGCTCTGCCCTGGCAGGGTAACTGAGCAGAATGGCCAGAGGGGCCCAGGCATCCTCTGCACCAGCACTGCCAATGCACAGGGCAAGATCTTTGCATCCTCAGTCCTGCAGGACGGGTTGTTTTTCCTCTCTGCTGTTACCTTCCCTTACCAAGCACTCACTTCTTGGTTTTTTTTTACTAAATTCTTGTGCTGTATTTCTGCACTTCTTGAATTACCTACTCCATTTCAGGCAGACTAAAGCCATTCCTGCCTGGTTCTGCTGCTGTTTTTTGTGTTTCCTTCTTTAATAACAGAGGACCAAAGGAAAAGAAACAGATACTGAAACCAGCACCAGCTCCACTCCAAACCCAAGTGCATGCTAAAGATGTTTTCATGAGCCCCAAAAAGGACCCTATTCATCACTCCTGGAGGAAAGATGCACCAACTTACCAGCAGGGTGAAAGCCAGAGAGGATAAATAATTGTGACACGGCTGCTCTAGAAGACACCCTCCCTGCCCCACACTTGGAGGATGCCTGAGGGTCTTTTTGTCCTTTAACCCACACACTTGGGTCTGGGACAAGTGATTAAAGGTCCAGGACAGATGAGGTGCAGAAGCTCATGTGATAAGTGCACAGAAAACATACAGCACACTCCTTTTCTTGTGTCCACTCCGAGATAATTTTTCACATGTTGGAAATACAGATGATTTTAGCCTGGGTCCATCTGGTTTCCCAAATAACCTGTCTATTTGATAAATAACATAAATTAAATTAGACAAGACAAACAAATAGTTTTTTTTCTCTCCCCCTTTCAGTCTCTTAGCAAAAAGGGAAAAAAAAACAAAACCACAACAACATAAGGGGAAGAAAACATAATTCAGTGACTGCCTTGAGCCCCTGAGGAGCCATGCGGTGGTGAAAGCTATGATTATAAACGTGTCTGCAATGTTAACCTTTAACACAGACCAAAGGCCGTCCTTTCCCCTGATTAATAAGTTCTCCTTTAATTTCTTCACTACCATTTAGGTTCCTAAGAGCTCATTCTGTCTGCACACTCAGCAAGTAATAGTGCATAATTAGTTTAGCAGCACTCCTCTCATCAAGGCGGTGAGGCTAGGATCAGAGCTCAGATCCAAAAGGCTTCATTCTTCTCATCCCTCATGCAGGAAAGGGAAACTGAGGCACGGAGGCATGTGATTATTACAGCTGCCTATCTCAGATGAAAACCTGGTGACCTACAAAGATGCAGCCACTTTTGCATCTCCTGCAAAGCCAAAACCAAGCAGCACCAGCCCCAACTCTCAGCTGTAAGTGCAATTAGAAGGGAAAAGCACAAATTAAGTGTAAAGGAGCAATTCCTTCAGCCCAGGACAGCCCCACAGGGACCAATTCTGTGCAGGCTGAAATGCACCACTGCCCCAAGGCTGTGTGCAGGACCCTTCCCCATATGCCACCCCTCTCTGCCTCGACCCTCAGGCGGTCCCTCCTACCAGCCCCAGACCACTCTTGGCACTTCCAGCAGCAACAGGGGGGATTTTTCTCCCCGTTAGGCACAGCGGCGTTGTGACAGTGCCAGGAGGGGCGAGCAGGATCAATACCTGAAAATGAGAAGCCAAAGCTGAGTTAATGTGCCAGACAGGAGGTGGGGCAGGGGCAGCCCTGGAAGAGCTGGCCGGGGTGATGAGATGGATGGGAGCAGGTCAGCAGCAAGGGCCAGGACAAAACCCACAGTGCTCATCACTGGTGGGAAGATGGAGTCTGGCACAATAAGCACCAGCAGCACCAATCCCTCCTGCTGCTGTGATTCCAGGTCCTACAGACCCTGCTGCTGGCTTCTTACCACTGGAACACAGCACAGGATATGCTCCCATGCAAGTAATTTCTGGTGTGCAATGCAGTGCTTACCAGCATTTCACAAAACCCAAACTACCAAAAGGCTGTTGGGGAAGAAACATCTACTCTGAGCAGTAGCCCAAAATCTTCCCATTCTATCTATTCCTATTTATAAGCTCTTCAAGCCCAACACTGTTTTCCTGCTTCTGGTTCTGAAACAAAAGAAAACACATTTTGAAGGGAAAACGCTAAAGGGAAAGCAAAACAAATACCATCACTGTGCTAACATATGCTGAGGAGAGGGCAACAAGACCACTAGGGCAAAGCCAACCTTCTAAAAGGTGCTCATCACATACTATTTTATACTGCAAAAGGTAGCAATTACAAGTCTATACGAATTTAATCCTTTGCAATGCCATAGAGCATGGAAAACTCTCAAGTATTTCCCCTTCAGTCAAGAGTATAGCTTAAGCTTTACCCACTCTTCCTTCCCCTTTTGCTAGGGGAAAAGCATTCTCTTGCTGCTCTCTAGTGGCAGGTATTACTAACAAAATTAAGACATGCTGAACTTCGACAGTTACTGCCCAATAAATCTGTGCTAAATTAGTACAATTTACAAATCAGTGCAAATACCATGACAGAGAAACAACTGGATATTCAGATACCTTCTACCAGTTATGGTGTTCTTCAAGAAACATCTGATAAACGACCTCTCCTCCTTCATTCTCTTCCCTAAACTTCTCCCCCCCACATGCAGGTTACACTAATGATTAGAACTGCTAGAAGGAACTGAAAGAAGCACACCACAAGCCAATGATAAAGGAAGCTCTGTCTAGGAATTAACAAAACCAAAACTACTGAAGCAGTTAGAAGAAACATTCTTAAGACCAAGAATTTTTATGTAAGCTTAAGTGGCTTACAGAATAGGAAGGACTTGAGAATTTACCCTCCAATAAACATGGCAGGGATATGTTTTTGTTGTATTCCAATATTAGTGCAGCTGTTCCTAGAGAAGGGCTTAGTTGTGGCTACAAAAGAAAAGCAGCAATGAAGAAAAAAGCCCCCAAAAGCCTAGAAGAGACAAACAACCCAGGGGAAGAAAACCCCATATATACAAGCAAGTGAAATCCTGTAGATTAATTCCAAGTGCCTCAATCAAAATTAAAACCAGGTTTTATTGTAAAGTTGCACTCCAGTTTGTACCATAATTCTTTATAAACATAATATACAGTAAGATATTTTACATGGAGCACACCAGGTGTATGATGGTACAAAATTTACAGTTCAAGTTACTTATGCAACAGTCACCAACCTCAGTTTGTGACATCAAGTCCTAAAGATGTTTAGTCTGACATAGAGGACTATTACTATTAATCTGGTCCCTACTTTAACACATTCAGTATGTAATCAGAAAGGTCAGAAATGCTTTATATTCTGTCTCAGGTTTCTTTCTTCTTTAGAATAGCTGTGGATGGGTCCTTATCTAATTTCCTCATTCAAGAGAGGGCCGTGCTGTAGCTGTTCAGAAATGGATGATTTCTCTTGGAGTGCAGCAGGAATGGATGATTTAAGAGCCTTCAGTTGGGCAAAACAAACCAAACAGATCCCCCCCAAGAAAATACCCCCCCCCAACATACCTCCTTTTCCTCTCCCACATTATTCACATTCTTCCCTCTCCCCACACATACAAACATGTGTATGAATATAAACAGGAATAAAAACTTGGAAAGAACTCATTATTAAACTGCCTCATAAAAGAGTGGGACCTTTTTTAAAAGTATACATTTCAAATATAAATTAGTGCTTCTTAAAACATCAAGCTAATAAATGCTTAGCATTAGAGAAAATAAGACACTGGAGGAAGCCATAGGCAGCTTCATACTGCAAGTGTAAACAACATACATGCTGCCACAGTTAACACTGCTTTTTCTTACCCCAAATTGCAGAAATACCTCCTTCATCTGTGCTTTAAGCAAACAGGAGCATTTCTGCATCATACCTGCCATACAAATGGTAATTTCAGATGGAACTTATACCACTGACACGTGTGAGATTGTGAGGACAGTATAAAGTAGTGTAAAAGTCTCCTTAATGCTTGGGAAAGACCAAGTTAGCATTTCACTCCAGGCCAGCCACGGATTTTGTGCTCTCATTTGCCACAGAGGACGGATTAAAAAGGGAATAAACAAGACCATTCCCTGGAAATAACTGGAACTTGTGAACTAAGTGACAGCTCAAGAGCATACAGCAACTTGTTTACCTTCCTGATGGCTGCTGGCAGATCTGCAAAACAAACCACAGCTGGCAAAGAGACCAGATACAACCTCTGGCCCTAAGCAGACATACTCAGCTCTCCAAGTACTGGAATATGCTTCGGCTTTGACTTGTTTCCTCTGTGCTGTCCACCCTAGACCGTTTGGCCAGAGGTGTTATTACTGCAGAAGGAGCTCTTTTCTTCACCTGCAATAAGATAGATTGGGATAAATAAAATCCTCAACGTTTAGATTCTGAATTATGAGAGAATCATTTGGTGTGAAGGCACACGCTAGGAAATCAGACAGAATATTTAAAACACCAATGCTCTCAATGGGTTGGCAGTGCTTTGTGCTTGTACATTCAGGTGATCTACACAACCGGCAGCACATTCCACACCGATCTTTACCTGAAGTTTGGATTTCTCCTTTGCCTCTTCACTCTTCTCTGGGGAAAGCGTATGAAAGACAAAATTCCTTGAATTTCGAGGTGCATTTGGATTAAGTTCTGACATTGCTGCTAGTTTCTCAAGGACAGCTTTAGGTCTGTTCAAGAGAGACCCGCTTTTTATCTGAAGAACAGAGAAATGCTGTGTTAAACCACTCACATGAGCAAAAGTTACTAGGAGGCTACTCTTCATAGAAAAACTACTCCCTACTATGCAAGCCAGAAATGACCAGAACCTAGGGGCAGCTGACTGCTGTGTTCTACAGATGTGGTTTGGAAATACCATTTTGCAAAGCCATCACCAACCTGTACGTCGCTGGCTGGTCTGAATGCTTCAAAGGGGTTCCTGGGTAATAGTGTTGTGTCTTGTGCCACTACTGCTGGGCTTGCTAAGAGAGACAGAGGGAAATGTCAGGTTCTGAACTTATTTGAAAGGCTGTGGTTTTATATTAAACTGAAAAATTGACAACAGACAGCAAATGTGTGTGGGAATTTACATCAAATTATACTGTGAGCCATACAACAGATGACTGGCAATTAGTTCTATCAGTCATAAGGGAAAATTTGGTCTGGAAACAGCTTTTCTCTTGAGTCATGTTTTTGCCACAATCAAGGAAAACTTAAATTTGCTTTTACTGCATTACATAGCGTTTCCTTAAGTCACAGGTATTTGGAGAAACTGCTAGGCTGTATGTCACTAATAGCCCACTTCTCTGCAACTTAAAGGCAAGCAAGGGAAGACTAAAAGACTAAACAGAGATGTATTTGCATTCTACAGCATTTGTTTCAAGAAGAAACCATATTTTATGATGTAAATGTATACAATTATCACCCACCTTACAGCTGCAAATTTTCAATACTTTTATACCTTCAGCTTTTCTAGTTCTGGAATATTTGAGCTTGGACTGGTACAAGAAAACTAGATGTGAGTTTCCTGATCCCTGGAGACCGCAAGTGCTGACTGAAAGTTTGAACTTTTTCTCTTGATTGCCACTTCAATAAAAAGTAAGTTTACCTTTCTTCTGTAGGGACTTAGAAGTTACTTTTTTGGCTAGCTTCATGAATTGGCTGTCTTCACCTATTTCTTCCTCTTCCTCCTGCTCGTTATTTTTTTCTTTCTGCAGCAGAGAGAAAACACTTTGTAAAGTTGTAGAAGTTCATCTTAAGAGCAAGCATTTCATTTGATATTTTAAGTAGACCAAATCTTCTCATCATATATACTCATTTTTATTTACTTCTTACTGTAAAAATGTATTGCAATTTCCTAGATACTTTATCATCTCAGTCTATTCACAAACAGCAAACCTGTAGCATCACATTCAGCTGATGAATCTGACCTAATACTGAAACTTCCAAAACCTGAAGCAGCAGAGAGCAGATTTAGTCCAGCTTTGAAGCTGGCTTGTTTCAGAGCATATTTGTTTAGCCTCTCCCTTCTGAATTAGTTTCTCTTTGTACAATACTTGTAGAAGAGTAGAATTCACAATGAATTCAAAGATAGATTTAGGAACGGTATTGTTTCTAGTTTAAACTTGAGGAGCTAGCAATTTCACATCTAGCTATGGTACAAACACTAAGCAAGATGCCTTTCTTGAAAGTAATTAATACCTGCTCACGAAGCCACTGTTCTCGTTCAAATCGCTCTTTCCTCCATTTCACTTCTGTGTCATCAAGTTGTTCATTTTCCTCATCATTATCTGAGTCTCTCTGGAACAAGTCAATCTGTGAAGCATAATCTGGACAAAGAAAAAAGACAAACCAAACCCATTAATTTAAAAAAGGCGTAAAATATGTAAAAACACACACACACACACACACACACAAAAAAACCAAACCAAAACCAGACATTCTCCCCTCCGTTCATTTCTGAAAGACCTTATTTACTTCTGGAGGAATACTGAGAGCTATTTCATCTACACACACACTCTTCCCAATCCTTCACCCCCCTCTATTAACTATGGATTAGAAAGGCACCTATGTTTTTCCATCTGAATCTCCTTATCCTGCCAGGGCCATCACTATGCAGGTCACCATCAATGAGGTATCTTTCCTGGTACAGGCGTAACTGACGCTTGTCATCATCTAGCACTGCCTTCCTGTCAACACCAAAGAAAGGGAGGAGGTTAATCCAGATGATAATCCAAGAGCCATCCGTGACTCCACACAAAAATATATGCTAATACCATCACTGACATGTGTAATTTCTGTACTTGGTTTTCTAATTCCTCTTCATTAGGGAGTTCCTCATCAATAACCTCTTCTTCGTATTCATTGAGGTCTTCACCATCATATTCATCCTCACTTCCCACATCACTCCCCGACAGCTCTGCCTCATCTTCCATGAATTCCTGCAGTCTTCTATAAAAGAACATTAAGAGAGTTAGTTCAGTAGACCAACAGTCATCACACAGACCTTCTGAAAGCAAGATTTATCTTCTGACATAAACCAAACATATCCTAAATGAGAAATTACTTTAGTTCTTGAACGTCTAACGTGCACAGCCTGCCAACATGCAGCACTCCAAGTTATCATCACCACATTCCTTGCCAGTTGCCTACCAAATGGGATAGCAGTAGCTGCCAACTACATGTTTTACTTACTAGAACAAATAAATATCTTAAGATATGAGGAATGACAGCAGTACTCTTGCATCCCTTTTCCTGGTCAAAAAAAAAAAAAATAAAAGATGCACTGCTTTTACTGTTGTCTTTTGATTTCCATCTATAATGAGAACTAGAATGGAAATCCTCCATAACACACCTGCAACAGAGTTAAACTCATTCAATGCAACAGCACCAAAGCAAAAAAACAGCAGTCACAGACAACACAATCATTAGCTACTAATGCTGAGGATGGAGTAATTACAGACTAGATTCCTAGTTCTATTAATGTTCTATTCTGTCTGGCAATTAAGATACCAAAAGATTTACAGTTTTTTCTTCAAGCTGTTTCTATGTCTCAGCAATTGCTCTTCTTCATCACTCGTTTCTGCTGCTTCACCATCACTGTCTCCACTTTTTTCATCCTGTCAAAGAGAGTTTTCAGGAATTAACAGATTTCTGAAAGTGGACTGCTTTATAACACCAGCTTCTTTTGCTCTTCAATCAATAACATAGACTAAACCAGCAGAGATTTTTGAGAGGATTTGCTATGCTACAATGCTTTATCCAGTAATACCATAATATTAAGAAGACTTTCAAAATGATCCAAATATTGGTCTTAAAATACCCTCAGTTGCTTTATATGGAAGTATCAATACTTTGTATTGATGGTTATAATTAAAACCACTAAGGAGATAAATGAAATTCTCTTAGGCAGAATGCTGCAGCAGCTTGCCTTGCTCCATCGGTTCATACCTCTTCACTTTCAAACGCCTCGTCATCTGTTAAAAGCTGAAAGCCACCGAGTTCTTCTTGCTCTTCTTCATCTTGCTCTTCCCTAAGGGAAAAGTAAAAGAAAGAAATACACATTTTCATTTCACCTCCAATGATGGCTTAGCAATCATTCAAGGCAAAGTTTCAACCACTACAACAGCTGCTGTCAGGCAATTACCTGCGAGTGCTCAAAGAGCTACAGTCTCTCAACAGCATTTAGCTTTAAGTGCCCCAAATCCCCACTAGAACTGATGTTTTAAGACCTCAGGTCTTCACTTGCAGGAACCATGGGACAAGTACTAATTTATGAGTTTGTCCCCCTCTAAAATTCCTCTTCCATCCCTCTAGAATTCCCATTTGTTAAGCCCCATTATTCTTTTGTTAGGCAGCCATACACCTTTCTGGTTTATCAGTGGGAAAAAAATGCAAGTATCCAACTTAGATTTGGTTATGGTTCCAGCAGCTTGGCAACAGCCCAGAACAGAAACCAAAAGTCCTACTTTCTAACAACGTTTTCTCAGTTTGAAGAATGTTATTCAACACTTTTCGCTATCAGTGAAAGGCAAAGCAGAACTTCCCTTCACAGTAGCTGTGGGAAATGGTACATGCTGCCAATTTAGAGAGTGATTCTTGAGGAATTTGCACTATTCCTCCCCTTCACCTTCAAAACAGACTACATTTTTGCTTACAGCAGTTTGAAGTTGAACATGAAAACACATTAAGAGTGAAATGAGACAAGTACCCCTAACAAGCTTTTGTGGATTTTAGGAAGAACAATGCTAACCTGTCTGTGGGAAACGAGCCTGAACAAAGTGCTAGAGCTTCTGCCATTGGATCTTCTATGTCACTGTCTTTTTCTGCCTTGGAAGATACTGATGATGCCCATGTTGGGGAACCTGCTACAGAAAGTAATAAGATAGCAACTTATCAGACAGATATACTTCTAACTCTTCCAATGTCAGAGAGCGTCCTAGAAATAACAGCATGGTCCCACAAAGAGGAGTAAGTGTTAATGCTCTCAGGAGTCCCACATGCGGCCTTAGTCCCTTCTCATAAAGCTTATAGATCAAGCAATCAGCAAAGCTGAAAACAAAACTCAAGACTTACTCTGAGACACGAATTTTCCTGAACAAAGATTGAGCAATTCTTCCATGTTCTGCTTTTTGTTGCTGCTGGTATTTGGCACGTGTTCAGCCTGACTGCTAAACTTTCCAGAACACAAATCCAGTAATTCATCCATATTGGCATCCATCGCATTCTCATCCATACTAGCCAGAGGCAGCTGATGCTTGGAAGACTGGTATTTATTCCTATGTTGTCCAACATTCAAAAACCTGAAAGAAAGGCTGTAGTTAGAAAGATCCTGCTGGTCTGTATGTCTTATTTCTATGTTATACGTTAAAGGGCACAAAACGCTATGCTTTACACCTATTACTTACCCATCTGCATCAAGCAGCTGGCTCTGAGTGTCATCTTCCAAAGAAAACTGGAACTGTGACTCCCCTGCCCCTGGAAATAAACTCTTTGGCTCAGGAGAGGCATTATACAGATCCTGGGAATCTTCTATGGGAAGAGAAGGCTCAGACGTCTTTCCTGAGCTCTAGTCAAAGGAATACACAAATATACAAGTCATTTGTCTTGCGAGCCTAGAATTCAAAAGCAAAAATGGGATAAAACATTTAAAGTATTTTAAAGGATTAACACCAGGCAGGAATCAGGTATGTCCAGACTGCTCTGATAAATCATAGGAGTTCACTGTTGTGCAGTCCATGTAAATTTGCTTAAAAAAGCCTATTTACAATGTACATATTTTAGATATAAAAACCAGATTACAGCATCATCTTTCCTTTGATGTTTTAGAACATAAGTTTCTATAATGTCACTTTTATCCTTTCCAGTGCAGAGATACTTTAAAGTCCAGGAACAGTTTGCTTTTCTGAAACCTTACTCACAAGAGTATTTGGCTAGGTAGTGCCTTCTGGTATTATTTTCTTTGATAGATCCGACAGGCACAATAAAATACATTTATTCACTACCCACTGAGTAAATATATGACAGGAATAGGCCTCAGAAGCTTACCTTGGAAGCAGAGCTGATAAAGCTCGTTTTGAAAAAACCTGGGGAAGGTGACCTGAAACCTCCTGCTGCAGATAAGAAGCTCCCTCCACGTGATGCCTGTTTGTTACAGGGCTGATACGATGGAATCATGGAGCCAATAAACTCAAAGCTGCTGTTATGGCTATTCTCTTTTGCTGGTGTTGGTAGGGAAAAGGAATCATCATCCTCTGGAAAAGAAGTATTAATACAGTGCTTAACTTTTGTGATCCAGTAAAACCTCAAGATACTATTTTGCAACACTGACACCTTGCTAAAAGTTCACTTTTGTGCTCATGTTGGATATTTTCTTCAAAGGATGCATATTACACTTTTTACTGAATTTCATCCTATTCATTCCTGTTTCTGTGTTTTCCAGTATTATTCTGAACTTTATTCTCCTCTAGTTTTTTCAAGCCCTCCCATTTTTTTGCCAGTCTAAACTTTTAGAACCATCCTGTATAACCATACAAGTGATGAAATAACAAAGACATAAATTCCATCTCAAAGAGAAGCTTCTGTGTGTGCCATATGAAAGAAAAAAGTGCTAGTTACCAAAATAGTTCTACTTTACCTAACTTGGTAGGTCCTTTGTCTGCAGCTTCTTCCATTTCAAGTTTCTCATCAGGAAGAGAATACCTGCAATTCATTATATAACATGGATTTGTCAGTATATACAAGATGAACATGATTGTCTGTCAAAGCTAATTGCAAAAAACAAGGTAATACACAAATACATCTAGCATCTAGTATGGTTCAATTATTCCACTGAACAAGTTACAGCCATTATGTTTTTTAAAGCAAATATATATGAACGCACATATAACTACTGGAACAACCCAGCAAATACCTATAAAAAGTCCCTTAAGAATATCTGTGTATTTTCACTGTAAATTTTAGATTGCTCGGGCAGCATTTTTAAAGCCTGGTTTATTTACCCCATTTTTGAGGAGCTGTCCTTAAAAAGCATCAATGTAGACTCTGTTGAAGGTGGTTTGAAAACAGAATCGCCGTGCACAGATTTCTCCAGCTTTTCACCATCGATTGATTCTTTGTCAGTTTCTTTATCACAGTCTTCAACATGTTTCTCTTCTGTATCTTCAATATCCTCCTCCGCTTCACCAAGCAGAAATTCCACATTCTAAAAAACATCCCCCAAACACAGCAGAGGCTTTTTGATCTGTCAGTTTCCTTGCATTCGTTTCAAGAAAGCATTTTAATACACAGAGGATGAAGCTGAGCAACACTCACAGTTCTTACATGGACCTATTCCACTCAGCTGACACAGAGGTACTTAAAACAGCCAAGCTATTCTGATCCTTTTTCAGAAGGAAAGGCCAAGGTAAATGCTATGCCAGATTGGGCAGGTGACCTCAGATTATCCCCTGCTAGCAATGAGCCAAGGATATATAAGAAGAGAAAGAACCTTTTATGCACTTATATTTGGTTGTGGTAGTGTTTAAGCAAGTAAATATGAAAAGAAAATATGAATAAATTCAGTTTTAGGCAATCCAAGCCCTAAACATGCCAACTACAGCAACGTTTCAGCTTCCAGGAAACACTCTTGGCAATTTCCCCTGTTACTAACTTAGTCTCACTTCACTGGAGGGAGGCAGCAGAATCAAGAAGCCGTATGTTCTTGTAAAAACGTTGCCTACAGACCTCATGATCGCCTTCTTCCTCTTCAGACTCATCTGTCATCTCTTCCTCCTCCTCCTCTTCTTCCTCCAACATCTCCTCATTATCCAGTTTAAACAACGCCTGCCGCTTCTGGCGTTCCTCAGTCCTGCGGAGTTTCATGGCCTCCTGGAGTTTAGCCTTCAGTGCTTGGAGCTTTTCACCTGGACAGAAGTGAATAAATGAACCCATTAGACATACAACCTTAACCTCACTGCCTTCCAGCATCCAAATCAAGTGTAATTACATGCATGAAAAGGGAAAAGCTACTTCGGTTTAAATGTTTTTATGAATTGATCTGGCAGCTGTAGGAGCTGGAGCAGCTTCAAGTGAGCTCATGAATTATCAAGATTCCTCATTATCCCTAAATTCCACTAGTGCAGCACACTGCAAACAGAATCCTACTCTCCACTGTCTCTTTTGGGAACAAGAGCACCCAGTTGCCATGGGCAGATGCGCTACAGCACAGGAAATAAGAGCAGCTAAAAATAGCATGTGCTCATAAAGCCAGTCAAGCAAGCTATTTATTTCAATTGATACTATGCAAGAGTCACGTGCAAATTCTGTTTGCAAACACACACAATTCTATTAGAAACAGAAATAAGTATGAGATCTAATAAATGGTAATAGTTCAAAAGTCTGAGTACTGATTCGGTCAGTTAATTAAGAGGTCTATTCAAGATTCTTCCTTAGAACAGGGCTACCCATTAGGGAGAACATCCTAATTTCACAGATGAAGATCCCTTCACTTGTATTTCATAGGGCAGCACTGGAAAAGGGAGAAGTAATTGTGTGTGTGAAGACAGTTTGCCAATTCAATCATCATCACTTTTCCCTCACCAACCTGGCTTGGTGTGGACTGTTTCATCCAGGCTCTCTGCTGCTAACACTGCTGGGACCACATCTGCCTTGAGCTCCTCCTTTCCTTCAGATGTAATCTCCTTACGGATAATGCTCATGTTTATGGTCCGTTCAACTTTGGATTTTGATGTCTGAAGAGTGTGCTTCAAGAAACGTGCTTTCAAGGCTTCCAAATCTTTAAATACATATTAAACTTTAAAATGGAAATTCAATTCATTTTATAGCATTTAAAAGCACTGAGTATTAATGTGTCAGGAGTATGCCTAGAGATTCCCACCCCCCAAAGGAAGTTGGTTAAAGCTCCAATTCTTTATTAAAATATTTGCAAACCCATTCTATTTGACTACCAAACCAATAAACCATTACAGAATATTTCTACTGTAACTTGTACTTAATTGCTATTAGCTAATATTAAATTACCTTACCATTAACCATGGCTTATCCACGAGACCAATTCACTTCCAGTCCTAAATTTCTGTTAACACAAGTATCTAAAACCAGACTCATGGCTGAAAAAGTCAGTGGTAAACACTCTGGAACACAGGCCAGTTTTTCTTTCCAGATAATTACTGCATGTTGCATTTTGAATTCATTTGAAAATATGTTTCCATGTGCTTTAAGTGCCAACATAATTCATGGTGGAGACATGGAAATAAACCATTCATTAAATAGTTATCTCTGAGCAGTCCTTCAAGCTTTCAAGTATTAGAGACTCACAACTTCCCTTTTAAGCATCAGCTGGAAGAAAAGGGATACCAACATTAAGCAAAGAATCCACAGTAGTAAGTGAACATGCCTGACTGTCCTATCACCTAAACAGGACAGAGATCAGGCCTGAAAAAAAATAATCAGATTTCCTAGTTAAAGTCAGATTAGCTCTGCCTACTTGGACAGATGAGATAGAATTGCAACAATAAAAGCAATACCTTTACTTGAATCAGATTCATCCAGGTTTATAAAGGATTCATTGCCAGAGTTGATTCTTGGCTTGATGGACAGGTCTATTCCCAGCTCACGAAGTTTATCCAACTTGGACTTCCTTACTTTTTCAGGCTGTGCCACCACTCCAGGCTCCTCCTGTTTATTGCTTTTTTCACATTGTACGTCTGGTGCTGTTTCACCTCTTTGCTCAAGGGCAGCTCCATCAGCTGCTAAAGGTACTTCATTCTCTTTTTGTTCATGAGGATCAGTGCTTACAAAGTCAGAGTGCTGTTCTTCTGTATTATCAGTTGTTGCAGCCCCAACTGTGTGACAATTGTCACTGTCCTGCTGGGGTTTTTCAGCACAGTCTTCTGTCAAGTTCTTCCCTACATCAACAAGAGGCTTGGTGACAGTAACACCAACATCTTTGCCAAGAATTGTTTCTGGTTCATTAGCTGCTGATTGATCACTTTCTATCTGCCCATCTTTGCAATCTGTGCTGAAGTTCTTACTGTCTGCAGGCTCTTCATTTAGGGATAGCTCGTATTTAGCAGACCTAGCAAAAAAATTAATCACCCATGGGTTGTATTGGTTAGTTAAACTATCACAGTACAAAATTCCCCAAGAGATTTAGTGACTATAGTAACTTAAATATTTTACTACGCATTACTCAAAAGAAGAAAGAGTCCAAGTAAAATGATGGGGCTCAGTCTGAACCACATTAAAGTAACTTTGCATGAGCATGTTACTTCATCTGGAGTTACTACTATACCCTGACTACTTTAGTAGTACAACTGTATTAAGAGAGGAGTATTGCCTTATGTTAATAGTGACATACTCCTAATTTCCGGGTGTGTAAGTCTGTACAACACCTCTGGCACACAGAAGTCTGGTTAGCATCAAAATTTATGAAAAGATATGAGGAAGGTTTAAGTCCTTACTTCAGTAATGCCATGGCATTTCCTTGACATACTGGTCGAGGTCTACGCTTGAAGAAGTCATGAACACTTTTGGCCTCAGGCACATGATATGGGAGAGACACCGATGATTCTACCAGAGAGAGGAGGTGAAAGAACATTTAAAACATCATAAAATGCATTTATTCGATATCTCTGAAATTCAAAGCAGCATTACAAACATTTTGCAGTAGAGACATCTACTAGGCACAAACAGCACAGTTTAAACTTGAATCCAGCAAACACTACTGTTTGGGAAGGGGTCCCAATAGCAACAGCCTAGAAAACCAAACATGCAACATGTCCATGGGTTCATTAGCAAATTAACTGTGATGTTGGTATCAGGATGGCAAGACCAGTTTTAATTTTACTGCGTGCCTATCAAGCCCTAAATATTGCATTACCTCTACACAAATTGACAGGTCCAAGTGTTTGTACAATTCTATGTTTTCATTAGTTACAAAGACACCTTTTAACAGACCCTTGAATGAAAATAGGGTCCTTGCCCCCTTCAATCCTAAATAACTCATGCTAGGTAAAAGAAGTTTCTAATCTTTAAAGTAAATTCTTTCAATGCCTCCCAGTTTTAATAGTTTACACTCCTCTCCATACAAAAAGTTTTACCTCTAATAAGCCGTTGGGACTCACTATGCAGTTGCTTAATGGCTTCTTTACTCAACCTTGCTGCTTTCCGTTCCTTAAAGAAAGAAAAGCTTCTAAAGTCAGAAAAAGAAAATATGGGACTAAGTTTATTTTCCCTTTCAAAGAGAAAGGAGTCAGAATAAAGCATCCAGTTAAAAAAAAAAAAAAAAGGAAGATTAAAACCAGCCATCAACAAAACCATTGGGCAGTGCACATACAAAACACATTTGAGTCACTACAACAATGGACAGCTCTAAAAAGAGGACTACTTCACCTTCTTTTTTGGCTCTTTTTCTACAGGTACCTCATCTTCATCATCAAATACGTGTTTGTAGCTTTCATCCTCAGGAAACCGTTCTTTGTTCTACAGTGCGTAAAAAGGGATTGATTCAGTTGTCTAGATACACAGGCACTACCAAAGGCAAACAAGTCACAAGCAAGAAATAATTGTACTAGATCATCACTGGTCAGCAAACCCAGCAAGTATTCTCATAAACCAAAACAAATCCCACATAACACTTATGGCAGATTTCCAAAGCTCCTGCTATAGCATTATCTTTATGACTTTCCAAGACAACATGTCTCAAAGGACAAAAAGCAACAGACTATTCTCTCCTCTGTCACACCAGTAGAAGCCCACCATTGCCAAAAAGTTTTAGCACATGCTCAGGTACAAGACTAATAACCAATAATCTTGAATCACTAGCAAATGTTACCTTGTATTTTTTCACTTTGTTTTTCACTGCTGCCCGTATTGATTCTATTGACTCTTCATCCTCGTTTTCCTCCTCTAAGCCGTTATCAAAGAGCTCCTTGTCATCAAGAAGACATCCACTGTCATTTAAAGGATACCACTCACCACCATCTACATGCTTGTCGTAAGAATAAAATATTTACACAATTAATTTCAGAAGATCCCTTTCAGTTCTTTAACATTAGTTTGATTCTCAAAAGGTCTTGATGGAAGAGATTAGAAAAAGCACATGTCATGTTTAATCCAGCATCTCATGTGCCATGGAAGCCAGTTATACTCACTACTGGAGCAGTATTCCCTATATGTATGGTAAATAGGGAACTTCAATAATGACTGAAGACCAAAATGGCTCAGAGAATAAATTAACACTTGCAATATGCATTTCATAAATAGCAACAATATGCAACCTCCCAACCAGGTGCTTATTCAGAGCAGAATTCCAGTTTGAAAGTAGTCCAAAGCTTCCTCCAGGAACACAGAGAAAGCTGAAATACCAATCAAAGCAGTTTATGCACAGCACAAACCCCCAGAGAACTCCAAGAATTTCTGCCTGACATTAAGTTATCAAGTGCTGGGGTTTGCACTTTCTTTGTGGATGAAACTGGTACGCTCCCCATGGTGTGCCATGGATACCACACCTGCTCTAGCTATGTGGACACCAGCAATACTGGAACACTGAAATATAACCAAATGCAGTAATAAATGTAACTTAGTTGAGAAAATCAGATTTTTCTGCCAAAATACACACCTTTGTGCTAGGCTGCTTCTCTTTTTTCAGCTTTTTAATGGACTCAGCTCTTCTCTGCTTCTCCTTTTTTCTTCTTGATTTTCCTACAGCATTTTTTCCTGTCTCTTCTTCAAAATCCCCTTTATGTGGTTTATGTTTTCTGTACTTTTTCCCAGATTTTAGGGGTCTCTCCTCTTCCAACTCATTCTCAGACAAGCCAGACCTCCTGCTTGATTCAAGGCCTTCAGCCTGCAGTCGGTCACCAGTGTCACTGTCATCACTGTCTAACAGGCCTTGGCGAATCCGATGGGGTTTCTTGTTCCTCTGGGCTGTAATGTTTTCTTTTTCCTCCTCATTTCCCTTGTCTTCGCTTGGAGTCCCATTCTGCACAAAAGAGCCACCATCCTCTCCATCTTCACTCTCACTGTCCTGAAGCACCTTCTTGCTTTTTGTCTTTTTCCGTACAAAAATCTCTTCCTCTGAATCTGATAAAACATATTAAAAGAAACGATGCATGCTACAGGGAGGAAACTGCCCCACATTAATTAACAACCAGTTCAACAGAAAGTTACACATCAGTGAGCAAATCCACTTGAACTCAAGTTTTCACAATTCCCTTCTCCCTGTAGGGCAGGATATAATTGATCCAAACTGCTCATAGGTTTTTAACCTTTAACAAAGGGCAAAGCTGAAAACCCTTCACTGACAGTGACTTGCCTTGAAATGCGCTTAAATGCTTGCAAATACAAGTAAAACCAGCAGTCGCTACACAGGTTAAGCAAATAATAAGGGAAATAAGCAATTAGAAGACTCACATCCAGTTTGCTATTTCCCTTTGTGTACCTTAGAAAGGGTTTTCACAGATTTACAGACTTCAGCATACATTCTGAGCAACAAAAGAGGCATTTTGGGTTCCTAGAGGCTAAGCCACAATAACATCCTGAAAACGGATTTGTAAACTGGAAAACGCATCACTGAAGGTAACAAAGACCAGGCACAATTCATGGAAGTACTACAGACCTCTGTCATCAGGAGACGCTGCCCCTTTGCTGAGATGACCAGGAGAGGTTGTTTCACAGCTGCCCTGTCCGCTGTCAGAGTCACTGTCCAGGGGTTTCTGCAAGTTGGAACTCAAATCTTCTGATGGAAACTACAAAGCAGAAATCAGATTTTCCTTACTTCATTTTGTATAGCAATGACTCTTGGTGCTGAACTGCATTGCAAAACCTTGGCTAGCCCCTTACACACAGTTACACAGACATACATTACCATTATATTGTACAAGAAATATCAACTTATTAGTACTTCAGGCCAGCCTGAGCACAGGAAAAAGAGAACCCACAAGCCAGCTGACCTGCACTGATTATTTAAAGCCATTACAACGCAAACTTCATCCTCTCACACCTGCATTTCACCTGAACCAATTAAAAAGGGACCAGAAGACACCTGCGGAGGTTGTATAGGCAGGTTCCTCCACAAGGTGCCCAAGCCCCATGTGCCGGCTCCTTCTGTGGTGGAACGGCCGCTCCCAAGCCCCGGGAGGGGCTGTGGAGAGGCACCCACGCGGGGAGAACGGACACCAACACCCGTGCGGCCCCGAGCACAGCCCCGCAGACCCCGGCATGCACCGCGCCCGCGGGGATAGGCCGAGCACGGCCCTCCCAGCACGCACCGCGGGCAGCAAGGCGGAAGGGCGAGCGGCCGGGGGTGCAGGGAAGCGCAGGCTGCAAAGAGAGCGGCGAGCCCGGGGAGGGTGCAGTGCCGCCGGAGAAGAGAGGTTCCGCTGCCGCCGCGGCCTCTCCCGCTGCCCTACCCAGACCTCCGTGGCACCACCCTCAGCAGAGCCCTAAGGCCAGAGGCAAGCTATAAACTGCTGCAGTTGCAGCTACAACTGCCACTGCCACCGCCACTGCCACCGCCACCGCCGCCGCCGCCGCCGCCACCACCACCACCACCGCCGCCGCCGCCGCCGCCGCCACTATCCATCAGTCCGCCCGAAGCGGAAGGGCAGAACTCACCTCAGCGGGAGCCGCCGCCATCGCCCCGACCCGCTCCCGCCACACAACCGCGTACGAACCCGCTTCGAGTCTTCGCGCCCTGAAACAACCCCGCCTATCCCTAGAGACAGCCAATGGCTGCCCCACAAGCCCCACCCCTCGCCTTTTTATTGGGAGGTTTCGCCGCGTAGCCCCGCCTCCTTCGCCTGGCCCAATCACTGCTCGAGTTCCAGGCCCGCGCACCATATAAGAGCATCCTGTGGTGGGCCCGCGTCAGTGTTGGGGGAGCGGGTTCCACAGTGCTGTGGTAGGTCTTGGCGGCCGCGCTTGAGGGCGGTCTCGGTGTTGGGCTTGGCTAAGGCTGTGTGTTTGGGGTCTGCCGGGTGGTAGCAGTTCTTCCAGTATGGCACTAGGTTGTGTGTGTGCCTTGAAGGTCTAGGGGTCCTCTCAGAGCTTACGCTGTGTTCTAGAGCAGGGCTCTCACGAGGGCAGCCAGGAGCCAGTGTAACACCAGCATTGGGTGCTGTGCTATTGCAGGAGACCATGGGCCTGTTCCAGGTGTCTTGCAGGTATGTGCTAGGGGACGTGCAAAAGCCTTCCCTGGACAGCTGCGACTGATGAGTACAAATGAGTCTGAGCAGAGAGAAGTCTTACAGCTGAACCTGTTTATCTATGTGCCACCACATAACGTCATCAAGCCTGCAGTATGTAAGGCCTAAAAACCACCAAAGTGGGAAAGGATGAAAGGTCAGAACTCAACCTTGATGCTTGAGAGTCTTCTCCAGATGTATAGGAAGTTATGGAAAGGTGCAAAGCTGGTTTTGTGTAAGCAGCTATGAATCATAGAATCACAGAATAGTTAGGGTTGGAAAGGACCTTAAAATCATCTTGTTTCAATCTCTTCTTTTCCTCCCTAGAATGTGGAACTTCAAAGGTTGATTGCAACCCGTTTCCTACCACTGACAACTGGAGGAAGTACACTGAGATGGGGTGAGTGTTTGGGACCTTGCTCTGAACTAGAGTTAGGGCTGTTTGATGCTCTTTCAGCATTACATTCATCATTTGTAGAACATACTGCTACAGCAGTGTTTTTCTTCCAAGTCACACAGCAGCAATCTGCTGCCACTGAAGGCAAAGCCCAGGAACAAGTCTGTGTAAGGCACAGCTTCGTGGGGGATAAGGAGCAGATGGACTCATCTGCTACGATACTTCATGTAGTGCCAACAAGTCTGAGAATGGAGGAAGTGAAAAACAAATGTCTGTGAAACCCACTGCAAACATCACAACAGTTCTGGTTTCCTGTAGCTACTACATGAGCTACAGTAATTTAATAATCACTGTTTTGTAATGGGGGCTCTGCAAGCCCATAGAAGCAGTAACTCCGGAGACCTTTGCTTCCTGAGGCCCTTCTCTAACTGGTAATGAAAGATGCAAAAAGGGAGGTGATGGTGTACTAGAAATTCCTGGAATTTCGGGTCTTTCTGAGTAGTCTGTCATTTAAAAGAAATCAAACCTAGATGACAGGTTTTTTGACTTACTCAAATTTGTAATCTTATTACAGATTACAGCTGTGTTTGGAGTAGTTTTGAGAGTCAGGTGGCAAGGAAATGTGGCAAAAAGATGAGCTGTTTAAGAACAGGTTATTTCTGATCCTGTGTTCTGTTACTCACACCCAGTGTATTGAGGCAGCCTCCTGGAACAGGTGATTCTTGATAAATGTTTGCTATTAAGAAGGTTTAGAATAAATTCAGGGTTTTATTTTTTTTTAGCACTGGGTAAAATGCCATATTAATGGATTCAAACCTTAAAAGCTACTTTATGAATCTGTTTTTCAGTAAATAACATACTCCTTCCACAACTTGTAGCAGATGAGATGTTTAGAAGCAACTTTGGACTAAGTCTGTCATAACGATTGTCTGTTGTAGCCAAATTGGGTCTTATCACTGGAAACATGGAGCTGTTCTCAATATGAGGGTGGATTAACATATAGAAATAAGGTTCTGTTTGTTTGGGCAATAAGGATGCCTTATTATCTCTATAATATTTATGCAGTTAATTATTTTGCTGACTTTTCTGGATTTATAATGCCTTAAATATAGGTTTGAGTTGCCATACTCAGCATGTTACAGGACCAAGCCTTTGTATTGAAGATTTTGTGAAGTAGAGATTGTGTCTTTAATTTTTTAAGTACTATTTGCGTAGCACTACATATATATATTTTATACAAATGCTGAGTGACAGCATGAAAATGTTGCCAGACATCATGGGGTTTTGTTACTGGTCTCATAAAACCGGTGTTTCCCTTAAGTATTCGTCAATGGCTGTCAGGCAGTGATGAGAATCTCAGATTTCATTTCATTTAAAATAGGCTTTTTGATGTTTCAACTTGGGAAATACCAACCCTGCAGGTTAAAAAAGGCAAATAAAATGGACTGGGCATTTATTATTTATCAAATGTTTTGACTTCTGACCTTGTTGTGAGTCAGCTGAGGCTTGTTGGCTAAACAGAACCTGAGGGGGAGTGCAAGGGGGCAGCTTGCTTAAGTAGCTGCTTCAAAAGGCAAAAAGTCGGAAACCCCTTTACTTGTGGCCTGAAATGTTGGCTTTTTAGGACAGCATTTGCTGGTGGTGGCTGTAACCAGAGGGGTCCTCTTTGACAAGAGGGGGAGCGGACCCAGTGGGCATGGTGAGGTGTGACCTAGGCTCCTCCTGAGGAAGCGATGGGTGGATGGACGGATAGATGTCCACTGGTTGTTGTATCTCAGTGCCAGCTACCAGCAGCGTGGCACCCACCCACCATTATTCCTCACAAGCCATCTTGTGCCCACAGGATATACCAGAGGTACCCGTGTCCACTGGCTCCCCTGTTTATTTCAGCTGTTTTCGGTCTCATTAGGGCATCAGCTGTTAAGAGGTCTTAATTCAGGGTGTAATTCATTGGCCGGGGTGAGTTCCGCGTGTCGGGGGGCCGCTGGAGGCCAGCGCAGCGTGGCTCCGGGGTGGAAGGCGCCCGTGGAGTTGCCGTCACGGGGCGCACCGGGGTTTGTGTCGCTGTTGGGGTAACTACGAACCGTGAGAGCAGACGGGGGGTCCCGTGCGGGGCTCGCATAAACCAGGGGAGCCCGCGGGCACCCACGGGGGGAGTGGCGGCGCCGTCACCTGTTGCGTGAAACGGGTGCGGGCAGCGTGCGCGCTCCCGCCGGCAGGGGGCGGCGCGCGTGCGCGAGCCGGCGGTGCCCGAGCAGCGTGGAGGGGCCTGCTCTTCCTCCTCCTCCTCCTCCTCGGGCGCGCGCGGGGGAAAGGCGGCGCGTGCTGACGGGAGCGCGCTCGGGCTCGGTGGCGGCGGCGGCGCAGCGGGGGGATTGTTTGCGCCGCCGCTCGGGGACCGCTCCCCGCCGCGCTCCCCCCCTTCCTCATCATCATCTTCCTCCGCCGCCGCCTCGCCGTGCCCCGCCGCCGCTGTCGCCCCCGTTTCCGTGTCGGGCCCCCACCCCGCAGCCAATATTCCGGAGATCAAGCGCTACGCGGCGACGGCGGCGGGGCCGGCGGTGGGGCCCGGGGCGGTCGTCGGGGCCGGGGGTGACCGCAGCGAGGCCACCACCGCCGCCATGGAAGCGTTGGGACCCGGTGAGAGCCGCGGGGGCGCGGAGGGGTGGTGCGGGGGCCCGGCCGGTCGAGGCCTGGCGGGTCGCGGTCAGCGCCGGCCCTGTCAGGTGTGGGCCCGGCGCCGCGGTGCTACCGGGCCCTGCGGGCCGTGTCAGCGGCGGGGAAGGAGACCGCGGGCCCGGCTGCCCCCGCCATCCGCGGGTAGTAGCCGCTGGGTCGAGCCGGGTGCCGTCGCGGCCTGGGGCGGGCGGTCCGGTTGGTGCCGCAGGCCGGGCCCCGGGGCCGCCGGTGAGCCTGCAGCAGGCCGCCGGCAGCGCGCTGACAAGCGGGCGGGCTTGGAGGCGTCTCGGCAGCCTTGACAAGGAGCCGCAGCCGGTCGCGAAACTTTGCGAGGGGCTGTGCGTGTGCCCCTAGAGCTGCCGCTGCTGCCGTGGGAGCTGCTGCCCGGCGTTCGGCCCCCGAAGGGAACGGGACGTGGCCTCGGGGCGCCGGCCTGGGTGCGGGACAGCGGCAGCGGGGCCGGGGCTCTGCGCGTTCGCAGGAGCCCTGGGAGCTGTGCTGTAGTCAGCTCTGGTTTGACACCGAGCCTTTATCCAGAGTTTAAGGTGATACTTTCTGAAAATACAGACGTTAATTTTTTAATGCTTTTAACAAACTTTGGTTAAATATTGGTGGTATTTTGCACATGGCATTTCCTAATTGTATCTTATTCCATGATCATTATTCTACCAAATACGTGCAAGTTGTATTCCTTTACCTAAGTGGTCTGGGCATCAAGTTCCCACTCACTGTAATCGCAATAACGTTAGTTGTGGTGCAGTGGGAAATGTTTATTCTCACAAAGGTGCTATTCCAGAAGAATCCAGATTTTAAGACAGTGGAGGGCTGACTGGTAAGGTCTGGTGTCTGTGTGGCTGATGCAGCCTGGCCTCTCTGCCTTCCAACTGTAGAAACAGATCCTCTTTTAGTTCTGTACAACTGCTTCCTGTCTGAAGTAACTTGGTTGGAGGTGTCTAGTACATAAGTGACACAGAGTGGGAGAAATTAAAAGCCTGACAGTGCATGTAACCAACCCTAGTCAGGCTGATCAGGTGAAAATCCTGACAAAATAAGTGTGACTTGCAGGACAGCCTGGGGAGACAGGGTTTTAGCTTATTCTCTGTAATTCTTTGAGAAATACCTTTGAAAAGGAAAAGATGTAAGTTTTATCGGCTGTAATCAAAACTGATCGAGGTCAGCTTTGCCCTGCCTGTTTACACAACTTGACAATACCGGGGGAGGAAAATGGGTAAATATAGTTGTCATTTAATCTCTTGCAAGAGGTCAGTGCCTGCACTTACTTCAGACTAATTAGCACTGGATTAATGGATCATCTCTCTACTATCCAAACAAGCACAGCAAACTTTGATTGCCCTTGATGATTCACTCTTGTCAAG